TCCTGATATCTCCTTATTCTCCCAGATAATGATACCATTCACTTTCACATTCCCCTCTCTCCCATCAATCCCTCTCTTTGTCCCTATAGACAGTACACCACTGCCTGGAAATTACCCACCAACAATTTTCTAATTGTTCACCTACAACTAATTATGTTATTTTTTTACATAACTTACTTTATACCAACTCAAACATTAAACAAGTTATTTTTGACTTAAATTTTTTCATTTCAAACTGCTGCAGCCCAATACGCTGGCCTAGAGAAGAACCACACAACACTGATCACAACTGTACAGGAGCAGAAACAACTTGTAACCCAGCTAGAGCGTGACCTAGCTAGCGTTAATTCACTTTCTAGCTTCTACAGAGGAGAAGGCGAAGTAAGATTTTATATTCATATTTCATAATTATTTTAAATCTTATATCAATATTTTTATATTTTTGATGAAAAGGTTTTAAACCAGTAAATTGATTTGAAATGAGAAATATAAAAACAAGTGAAGTCTTTATTATATTTATTATTATATTTTTTTTCATTGCAAATGGGCTCATGTTGTCTGACAAAAAGTATTAGAAAATAAATAAATAAATAAATAAAGTCTGATTACCCCCACCCATGACTGGCAAATACTATGGCTTTAGCCGAAGATGGTAGTACATTTCTGCAGATAATGCAATGGAGCCTAAAAAATAAATACATGGGAAACTTCCAATACTGACAGTTTATTTGGTTGCTTCTGAGTATTACATTCTCTGTCCTTTTACTATAGTCTTGTATTTTCATTGTTTATTATGTGAATTTAACCAGTGAGATCAACTACATTTTGATTTTATTTGGTTATTGTAATTTTATCACTTTTTATGTCTTTTTTAGGGACAGGCACAGCCAAATTCTGAAGCCGAAATCATTGCTGAAATGGTAAAGAATTCAGCCCCAGGTATGTGTACCAGTAAAATAATTGTAAAATGTAAGCAAAATTGTATAATATTATTGAAGTATATATCTACAAGCACTACGTAAGCACATACTTAATATCGCTTATTGCTATCCAGTGGTGTGTCTATGGATATGGGGCTTAAGGAGGTGCCTCCTTTGACGTCTCATGCTTTGTGTGTGTGTTTTTTTTTTTTTTGGCTTATCCAGTGGCTTATAATATTGGCATGGGTTGGGGGTGCTAATGGGGTGGTGGGCATTAGCTGTCAAAATTAGGTAAAGTTAGGTGATTTTCTTTTTATAGCTACTGCTATGTAAGTTTTTTGCTTAGTAAATTTGCAGTGGGGATTAAACAAGGTATTAAAAGATTAGGCTTTCAGTAGAGAAACTGAAAATTTACTTCTATTTCAAAAGGTTCATTGATTGTTTTTATTTTAATAGTTTTGCCAGTAAGTCACACAGTTCAAGAGGTAGGTGCTGTGGACTCCCTCTTGCCAATTGTGTCAAGTCAGAGGGAACGATTCAGGATCAGGAATCAAGAATTAGAGGGTGTAAGTTTACAACATTTAAAACCTCATTAATGTTGTCTGAAATCCTATGATTTATATAGGCAAACCAACCAAAAAAAAACTATCTGACTGAAAATTTAATAAAATAATTAATATAAAAATACAAATATTTATTATTATATATTATATTTTCCCTAAGGTTTCTGATATTCTGTATGTCTCTCTCATCCTGTTAGGTTCATATTTATTTTTGTGCCTTTTCTTGTTACTTCTGTTATAATCAATATTCATTTCAATAGTTTCAATTCCACATTAAAATACGGATAAACAATTATTTACAAGGAAAAATCAACAGTGTTGATAATGGGTCCCCAAATCTATCAAAGTAGGGTCCCCAAAATACTGGATGCAAAACACATTGGTGAACTGGTTGATTGATGGTTTGATTGGTAGATTAAATGATTTATAAGTTGGTTAATCAGTTGGTTGATTGATTGATTGATATATTGTTTAATGGCTTGATTTATTTATGGATAAGTTAATTGGTTGATTGATTATTTGATTGATGGATTAATAGATGAATTGATTGATTAATTATTTGGTGATAATTTGCAGGAAAATCAACAGCAGCAGAAACAAGTTTCTATGCTACAAAATGAAGTGGACACACTCAGATCTGACAATGTCAAGCTCTATGAGAAGATTAAGTTTCTACAGAGTTATCCAACATCCAAGGTATCTATTGCTATCATTATTTTTTTTATATTATGTAAAATATAATGTATGTAACATTTTTGAAAAATTCTTTGGTTTTCATATTCTTTGATTTAAGGTTCCAACCAATTAAATTATATTAATTTAAAAAAAAAATAAACTCCTTAAAATAAACTACTGACTAGGGAATCATTAAAAGCTGTTTTCTTTAAACCTACTTGGCTGATATCAAATGAATTAAATATTCATAACTTAGTACTTAACCAATTCTCATCAAATAAAAATTTTTTAATGGTTGATACACATGAAATGAGAAACCCCAAAAAACTCAATTTTGTGTCTACTGCCCACTTGTGGACAGGTAGACACTTTGCTACCATCTCTCCCGTAATCTGTAAGAGTAAATCCGGTTGCAGGAATTACGGGATGTGTCATAAGCTAAAGATAGAACTGAGCAGTCTTCTAATAAGTAAGATACAAAATATGATGCCATGCCTAGACCTGTCCTAGAAAGAACTACAAAGTCACCTGTTACTTGTACAGCATGTGAATTGCCAATACAGAAAGCGTTGATAGGTTTTTTGTTAAAAGTAACCAAAAAAAAAAATATATATATCAAACAGCAGGCACATGCTCCCGCCGGGAGCCTACTTTTAATATTACCAACAGACAGGTTCTTGCAAATATAATATAATGCTACTATTTATAACTTTATATGTTACTATTGATATATAACAGATATATAACTTTAGATAATACCTATCGTTTACTTATAGCCGTCGGCTAAGTACGATGAGACTGAGAGTCGATATTCCAGCCAGTATGAGGAGAGGTTGGATCCATTTAGTGCCTTTGGGAAGAAGGAACGACAGCGCAAATACATGAATCTGACGCCATATGATAAAGCAACGCTGGGAATGGTGAGTTGTTACACTAAAACTTGGGTCTCTTTTATTCCAAAAAAAAAAAACTATTGTAACTCTAATGTCTGTAAAATAATCCTATCCAGGTGTCTTAATTCAATCACCTTTAATATATTTCGGATGTACATTTCCATATTATCAAATATATGTACAAAGGTAAATTAAACTATGGAATTTGAATAGCTTGGTGGTTAAGATGCTAGTCTTCCAATCTCACTGTCCTAGGTTCAATTCCAGTCAGTGTTGCAGGATTTTGTTTTCACAACGAAAACAACTCAACTCCCTAAACCTCGTATTGAAATTTAGTTTATGTTTGTGTGTGTGTATATCTTGTGAAAGGGATTTTCACCATAGGCGTAGATCTCGGGGGATGGGGGATATATCCCCCAATATATGAAAAGGGGGGAATGGTCCATTGTATTTCTCCCCCCCCCCCCCCACATTTTTTTTTAATATTTTGATTTTGACTATGTATGGGATAAAATGGAGTTTTACACATTTCAAAAGACTGTCACAGAAATAATTGCACTGTCTTATGCGCTTACAAAGATGAAAATTATCATATTGTATTGATGTTGATAACAAAATTATTTTATCTGGTACCAATCTAAGCTCTTCTTTCCTTAGATGTTAGATGTGCTTGCAAAGCAAGCCACATTTTAACACTGAAGGGTGTGTACGACATCAGTAATTTTATGTCAATTCCAAGAATTTTTAATCATCCCCCCCAATGAAAAATACTTTTCTATGCCACTGATTTTCACCTACAAGTAGGACAGTGACATGACTTTTCGTCTTTTGTATTGTTTCTGATTTTATCATGTAGAAGGCATCCAAATATCAGATTAGCTGGAAAGGTCACCCTCTATAAAGATGGTTGAAATAAATCAATAAAAATAAATTCGCTAATTACAATCATTGGTGCATGTGTTGTATGCTTAAATAAATAAAATTAAATGTTTATGTACAGTTGTAATGTATTAATATTGGTATTATTATTTTTTCAGGGTCGTTTTATCTTGTCTAACAAGGTAGCTCGTACAATTGCTTTCTTCTACACTGTTTTCCTGCACTGTCTGGTGTTCCTAGTGTTATATTATCTAGCATACACATCAGCCTGCAAAAGAGATATGGCATCCGAGTGCGTTCAGAAGTAAGTTTACAGTGCATGTTAGTAGTGGGGTATGGGTATCTTAGGGTGGGGGTGGGGTATGGGCTGTCTCTTATACACATCTAGATGTGTATAAGAGACAGGGGGAAGAGAGTGGAAACCCTCAATTATTTAATTGTGGTGGTGGGACAAGCCCAACTGAACCAATATCTAAAATCAAAGTTTGGGCTTTTTTTTGGGTAGACATTCCACCTCACCCTATGTTCAACTGTGATTAAGATACCTTGATTGTGAATTTTTAGCTCAGTGGTTACAAGCAAAAATAAATGCAGGTTGAGTGATGGTTAACTGTTTGTCCTAGGATTGTACTGTAATACTTTTGACAAAGACATTTCTAAACCAATCCTAATTCCAATATTTGATTCTTTTCCTTAAATTTACCTTTTTAATTGGACAGATATTTTGATTATGGAATATTTTTTTTATTTCTTTATAATTGTTTAATTGTCTTCATTCCTATTTAAAAAGCATGCTTCACTGTGACCATGTTATAGAAAACTAAATGGAAAACTAAAAATGTTGTCTGTGATTAGCTACCAAAAAGTATGTTTGGGTTTAGTAGTTTGTAAGAATGAATACTTGTAGATGTTCTTTCTAGCCAATGAGGCTCAAAGGTGCTGATCTAAGTAAAACAAAATTGTTACTGTTTGTGCAAGTATATCTGTAATTCAATAGTTGATATTATATAAAGTAATACATAAACATAATTATAATTATAACAATGGTGATGTTCTCCCTGTATTTAAAGTTTTTTTTGTTTTTTTTTTACCACTGGTTTATAAAGCCTCTTTAGTAGTGTGGAATAAAAATTTAAACTACTGTATTGTCCTTTTCAATTCCCTGATTTGATATTCAAACTGTTCTAGTCATTAATCTACATTACTTATTATAAGATAATATGGGAATTTTTATAATAATTATTATTTTTATTAGTTATTTTAACATTATTTATTATACTGTAATATTTTTTGTACAGGTAAAGCATGCATTTTACTCATACACAATCTTTAGTTAGTGATGTTCAATTAATATTCTTCCCATATTTTTAGAATGTATTTAAAAATTACCTTTAGTGCAAATGAAGGCATTGTATTGTAATTATGTAGAATTGTTGTAAAAGACCAGTTACCATATTTTTTTCTAAAAGCATATACCAATTTGAACCATTTTATTTCGAAAATGTAATGCTTTATTATTTACAAATAAAATAGTGTAATATTTACAGTCACATTTTGTCTTTGTTGATTAACTCTATTGAGCAGTGGCTCCCAACCAGAACATTGGTCAGGGACCAGGAACAAAAAATCCCTGGCAGGATTCACAGGAGTGGTTTTATGGCTTAGTATGGCCCAGATTGTGCTTAAACCACAATATTAGGGATTGGCAATCAAATTACAAGTTATCTTTGATACGACAGGTTTCAGGGCTGTCCAAGTCAACACTGACTCTGTTGCAGCAACATTATGAGCTTACTCAGGTTGTTTTGTGTTTTGACAATTTCTAGATGATCTGTATTTCTTTTTGGATGAATATAACTTCCAGAATTTATATGGCGTCAATTCTAAACTAAACATTACTCTTTGGATCCATAACTTGGCAAAGTGGCACGAAGTGCAACATTTCCCTTCCAGGGGAGTACACTGCGCCAAAGAGTACAGAAAACAGCAAGAGACTCTAGTACTGTACACTTGTTGTAAGTGTAAACAAAACTATACTTTACGCAGCTATTGGAGGATGCCCGCTGTCATTTTTATGCTTTTATTACCCAGTACTGCACCATTTTTTGTTTTTCTGTTTTCCACATGATAAAGCACTTTCGTAGAGGATGGTATTATCATACCATTGAAGTGGACCGCACTTCCAGTAAACTTGTACATAGTTGGCGCACAACTCCATCATGATTTTCCATTGTAACGAGGTGACTGAGTTATTTACAAATGGGACTATACTCTCTTCCTGTTTCTATACTCTTCGACTACACACAAATACCATATACCAGGTAATATCCTAGGTAAAGAAAGCGCTCCTGGGACTGAAAGGCAAGCATTTTAAACACCAAGCTACAAATGCACTCTTTCTACAACCCCCATAAAACCTCTTCTTTACTGCATGTTTCTCTGGAGGGACCTTCCTTGGGGCATCTGCAAGATTGGCCTAAGTTCTATTAAATGCTTCATGTCAATGGATCGGTCTCTGAGTAAGGATGACCGTTCTGCATTTCTATGACATCATCAAACTGTTGCAGATGGAACTTCATTACTTGGTGGTTGGACATCACTTTGAGAGCGATGTAACCAATTATGACCTCAAAGACCACAAAACCCAGGAACACAATGTGGACGGCACGTTCTACAGGAAACGGCATTGAACCAATAAGCAGTATAAATGCGCAGAGTGGAAGCTGAAGAACTAATGTCAGGAGCCAGAAGCCAGCCAGCTCAGGAACCTGAAGATAGAGAAGATAGTAAAAATATAGTATTGCATTACATTTATCAAAGTTACTTTATATTTTTGCATTCCCTTACTGCATATCCAGGTTACGTCTTTGACTGGAATGAACATGTGACAAGCACTGTACAAAACATTTTTTATTTTCAATAAATCTTAAATCTAAGAATGCACTTTATAAAGGTGATTTTTTAATCATTATTAAAAGAAGTCTTCCAATTAATGACCACCGCCAATTATAGACCACTTTCCATTTACAATTATTTTTCTAATTGGTCAAAGCTGAAAAAGGCCATAAAAACCCTGGTCCACTGAACGATATATAGGAAAAAATTTACAGCATGGATTTATTTCAAAAAGTAGTTACTTCTACTTTTCTTGGTGTAGAATAATAGGACTACTGTACCTCAAATCATCCACCACCTCAGAAAGTAAATTTTAATACTTCCTCGCAAACCTTGTTTATTTGTATTATACAGGTCTCCCGTTAATTAAAGATCCCTCCAATTCCTAATATCTTATTATTCTACTTTTAGAGATCAAATCTGCAAGATTATGGAAACTCTGTTCCCAGAAGTGGTCTTTTATTGGAGGGAGTCCTGTATACTGTATTATGTTTAAGAATTTGTTTGTATTATAGAGAAAATTCTAAATTGTATTATACTAACACGTTCTTGAAGATTGCCAAGGTAACCAAGATACAGTCTCATAACTTCTGTTCCAGACATGATGACGTATACTGTGATGTAGATGAACTGGTTGATCTCTTGCAGGTACAAGAACTGGAAATACATTTAATCAGAATTAGTCACATAAATCATGGTGGTAAGGTACGCTTTGTCTTAGAACATCACCACGATGACCTCCGCTACTGCTGTGCTCTCAGGTTGCAGCTGCAGATACAGAAATGTTTTGCTGAGGCGGCCAAGTGGCAATTGAGGACCTAAAATCCAAGAGGACGGAACATATGTTCCAAATATTAGGATTGGGGTGTTCTCTTGCTTATTGTGAAGTCCAGGTGGCTACCCCCCCCCCCCTTTTCCCTCTCCTCTCCCTACCCCCGAAAGCTTTGGAATTTCAGCCATTTTAATCAGTTATATAATGATAATGACTTGGTGAATTTTTGGTTCCATCCTATAATGAGTGAATTAGGTGACATCAATGTTGAGTATGAGGTCTATATTATAATTTAGTTACCTTGAGGTCCAGCATAACAATGCAGGTTATGATCCAGAAAGGAAAGAAGAAAACGTTGAAGTATAACGCCATCTGTAGTGGCAGGCTAGTGACTATCTCATTACCTGTAAATACATAATTTTAAAGACGTCATTCAGAAAGCAGAACATTTCTACACTTGGTTTTGTAGTTCAGCATGTCCCCACTGGGATTTCCAAGAGGGTATTAAGCCCAGACCCCCACCACACCCCAATTGATGGGGGAGTCAGCCATTGAATCCGCCACTGAATAGGGCCACTGTAAAACATCAATCTGTATAATGGAGTGCATTAACCGGCATTATATCACCCAAAATTTTATTTATTTTGTTTCTTTGAAATTGATGTACAGTGTATGTACTGTATTATCTTCGAAAGGCTTCTATTTGAGGCTACTTTTGCAAGATAATGAGGGGGCTACAATTTGAGATTGGCTCCACTGGGCTTCAATTCAAGGTTTTATGGTATGTCAATATCTGCAAAAAAAAAAAAAAACTGCATACAACATTAATGTTGTCAAGAGCATTATTCTATTGACCTGTACCAAGTTTGCTGTCAAAATATATGAAATATTTGGAAAAGTCATGCTGCACCAAACCACTATAGTACTACTACCTGTAAAGTTCAATTATTATTTATTCCATCAAACTTGCAGTTAATAACTGAATCACTTTGAAGTTAAAAAATATTGTTGTCTGAACATACATAGTCCTGTATGTATCTTATTATGTATTTTCTTAAATTTATTTAATTTTTGGTAGGCTGACATACTGTACATAATACAGATGTTAATTTATTTAAAGTCTGTTAATTCATATTTGTATTCTGTTGTGATATGTTTTTGTAAACATACCAATTATTATTTAATGCCATCGATACAAAATAAAATAAAAATAAAATACAGCAGAAAAAGGCAATAAACAAACAATAGTTAAAAACATTTGATATTAAAATGGCAGACCTACTGTACATTGTCCAAATAAATAAAATAAAAATACAATACAGCAGAAAAAAGCAATAAACAAACAACAGTTAAGAACATTGATATTAAAAGACAGACCTACATAACAAATAAGATAGTATAATACATACTCCAAGTATCGAAATGCACGCCATCGTGTCGGGATTCAATATTTCGACAATAATTATGTCATCATCAGGAATAAACAAATAATGACCTTGCATTGACAAAAAGTACAATTGAGTATACATATAAAATATATTATAAATATTAAATAAAACTGAAATACAATTAATAATAACAATTAATTATAGATCTGGACCTAGTTAATAAAAAGTAAAAAAATATAAAATGCCTTTTTTATAGCCGAAATTAAATTATTTAATAAGAGACAATCAATTAAACAATCAAATTTCAATAAAAAAATATAAAAAAAATAGGCCTAGTAGTACTGTAGAAGACTCAAATACCTAGGCCTACTTAGGAAACAGAAAAATTATTAGATTTTCACTCTTTAAAAAAAAAAAAAGTGATGAGGGACGGTGGGTTCTTTTTTTCTTTAATCGGAACAATAGAATATTGCTGTTTTTTATTGATAAGGGAGGGACTGTTTAGTATTTGGCAAGAATATTGTAAAAATATTGTATAAAAGCAGGTTTAATTTAATTTTTTTTAAAGGAAGTGTATTTCCAGTCACAAAATTGCATTGTTTTTTATGTTGTTGAAACAAATGATGCGGCAAACAAATTTTTTTTATTCCCGTATCAATATTTCCCAAATTTTTTTTGTGGACGGGAGTGATAATCTAACAATTTTTTTATATGTGCCTTACTTTACTCTAGATTTATAGGCAAGCCAAGGCCTTTAAAAATATATTACCCTAAAACCTGGCTAAGGTAGCTGGTAATTGGTGGGCTCTGGCGTGCCCAGGCCCGGCCTACTTTCTAGGCTACATAAAACAGGGCTAGGCCTAGCCTAGTTAGGCCTACTATTACTAAGGTAGGTATGTTACAAAAAAAATCAAATTGGTTGGATGTCTACCATTTTCATAGCACAAAATCTACTAAATGTTACAACATCAAAAACGTTTTCAGAATTAAATTTGGTTGCTTGGTTGATTTTCTATGATTTTTTTAAAATTTTAATTTTGCTGAAAATTTGGCTACAGACATTATACAAATTGTGTGACCTTTTTCATTATCTGCACCATTAAAACATCATAACTTTTTTTTTTTTCACGTCACGCTTTGTAACGTACCTAACTAAGGAAAGGCCTAACGCCTAGCCTAGCTAGTTAGCATATTACCGGGTCTTAATAGATGGTGCTGCCTTTGATCTCTAACCCCTCTAACTGGAAACACAGCTTCAGTAAATGATGTTAGTTTTTGTCGCATATAATCTGCAGCCATCATCAAAATTCACTGTTTTGCTCTTCTTGGGTTTGTTTTGTTTTTAGCTAGCCAGAAAGCGACATCTCAACACCTCGCGACGATGCAGGCGCTATAATGGATGTGCTGTTTTGGTACAGAGGGCAGCAGACACATAAACTGAAGCTTCTGCAATGTGGGTTGACGCGATTTGACGGAAGTTGACGGGGTTGTCGCGATTTGATCGTGGAAACAAAGATTAGATTTGCTGATCGAGTAAACATGGCAGTCGCGGAGCAAGAAGGAGTGAAACTAGAATCCGAAGATGCTGGCAAAATTCGCTGTAATCTGGTCATGGTTGATGGTGAATTTCAGGAATTTCTAAATTCAAGAGACAACAAAAAGACAAAAGAAACAGAAAAATTTGGAATGCGTGTATTTGAGGCCTACTTGGAATCTCAAGGAATGAACTTGGATACGGTATTGACGGATCTAAGCCAAGGAGCCTTGGATGAAATCATTGCGCAGTTTTACCCGTCTGCACGGACCAAAAGAGGTGCCTATTATTCTAAAAGCTCTATCATGCTTATTAGATTTTCTCTGGCTAGATATGTGATGAAGCTAAAGAAGGTAGACATAACTGACAGTTTGCAGTTTCCTAAGGCATGTATGTCGTTCAAGGCAAGTGTTAAAAAACTTGAAATGGAAGGTAAAGCTGCAACAAAGCATTATGACCCAATTTCCGATGAGGACATGAGAAAAATTCAGGCTTCCTTAGATATGGACCATAACGTTGGTCTTCAAAGGAAAGTGTTTATTGATATGATGTTGTATTTCTGTAACACAAACAGAGGGCGAGACTCATTGAGATTACTGCAACCATCGGATTTTATCTTTCTAAAAAGTGATGATGGACGTGAATACGTTGAACTTTGTGATATGGAAACAACCAACCACAGATTTGATAATGGATGCAGGCAAGGAGGACAAATGTTTGAAATTCCAGGCCATCCGCGATGTCCAGTAAAGAGTCTAAAGAAATACTTGTCTAAGTTAAACCCTGCTATAGACGTTCTGTTTCAAAGACCCACAGCAAAATTTGTTGAACAATCTCCAACATGGTATGACAATGCCGTGTTGGGAGTAAATAAAATTGGCACACTGATGAAGGATATCAGTGAGGAAGCAGGGTGCACGACAGTATACACCAATCATTGTCTTCGAGCAACGGCAGTTTCTAAGGCGGATTCACTCAAATATGCCGAGATAATAAAAATGGCCGGTTATATGCCCGAAGACTGCTTTGCGCATTACTCAACTAGGCCTATAACAAACGAGAGGAATATAAGTATGTCGTTACCTGGGATAAAAAAACAATATAATTAATGTTTAAACAAAACAGTAATTATGATGCCCTACCCCGACTGTTGGCCTATACTGTAGTAAGGGCTGTGCAAGGAATATATGCTCCATGCAAAAATTTGGCTTAGAAATCTGTCTGCGCATTTAAGAAAAAATGGGCCGCTTTCCTCACAGATTTTGCCGAAAATTATGCTTTGGCCCACTAATAATATACAAACAATGTATTATGCAATTATTATGATTATGCACACCTATTTTCCTAGCGATTTTCGGCACAACTTTGGGTTTTTTAGGTATCATCTGCTCAATTAAAAACCTTTACAGTATCATAGTATGGATGCCCTATCCTACAGAATTATTAGTTTTTTTAATATCACAAATTGTATATCTAATTTTTTGTATAGTAACAGCAGGCTGGTCTGGCTGGTCCCATTACAGTGGGGAAGCCTTTGGTTGCCAATTGTCATTGATAAAAAGTTGCTGTACGCAAGGGTCACTCAGTTCCAGCGGGGGAATTTTCCCCCAGATAATTTTCATGCTCTGGGCCCCCCACAAAAAAGAAGAATACCACAATTTGTCAGGGAGAAAAAAAAAAGTGTATTTTCTACATATCAGTAGACTATCTATAATTTAAGCCTCTGAAACCCCTAAATTGTCATATTTTTTTGGAACTTTTCCCCCTAAACCTTTTTCCAGATATTTTGAGCGACGCGAAAAAGCCCACTGCAAGCCACCCCAGAGTATTTCACCCCTGAAATTTTACCTTGCGGCCCCCCCTCCCCAGATTTCAGAAGCTGACACTGCCACTGCATAGAAATACTCAATTATTACATACAAAAACCACTAATTAGCTTTTTTAGGTACTTTGGGCTTTTTCCCGAAAATCCTGGGTACTGGGAGATTGCATGTTGGAACGTGTACTTTGGGTAGCTCAAATGTACAGATACTGTATATAGTGTAATAATTAATAGCAGCAGTTGAACATTTATGGGTCAGTTTTTCTTGGGTTTCACAATAACTTATAAGTACTGTACTGTAATTGGACAAGCCTAAATAGGCCAGTAACAAATCTAACCAAATGTTTTGTGAAGTCCGATGGAAAACTCATTGTCCTGGACAATGTGCAGACCTATTTATTTATGGGTCTAAGCCTAATGATATATTTCTTTAGTATTTTAATCTATTCCATTGCAGAAGATCAAAGCAGCCACAGCCAAACAGGAAAAAGAAGCATTGATGAGGAGGTAACTAGATTAATAATAATATATTTTCCCTTTGAATTTTTTTTTTCTTGTACAGTAATTAATGTTAAACATAAATAAGCAGTTAGAATAGTTGCGTATCACTTAGTGGAAATTTATTATACGAAGGTTAAATTAATGCAAGAAAAAAAATCGTGAGGGCCTGCAATGCCAGAGGGATTTTTTTTGAATGCATTAATCTAACCTAAGTATAATAAATTTCCCCTAGTGTATATTAGGCACTATTCTAATTGCTTTGTAAGTCAATCGCTGTGCGTTAATGTTAGTTTTTTAATCAAACTGTTGTGGTAGTCGATGGTTGCTATAGTGATATGATCAGTATATTTGTGCGCGTATTACATTTAGCTTTGTTTGAAGAACTTGTCATGAATTTACTATTTTGATAGACGTTCATAAAAGAAATAAAAAATTTGTTAAGCATTTGAGAGAATACAGTATTGTAATCCTATTTCGGTTGGTGCAGACAGGTAAAATTGTGTGATGATTTCACTTACTGTAGGCTTACGTATCGATCTAGGCTAGGCCTATTGCACAGGCAGAGTAATCACTGAACAACCAACAACGGCAAACATCACTTTATATGGATTTATGATAGAGTCTATAGCAACCGTTCTACAACCGTCAGTTTGATTATAAAAGGCCATAGAAAAGGTGATGGACATCACAACTGACTTATAAAGCAATTAATTAATTAATTAATTAATTTTGTACACTCTATATGAAGTAGAAGCCTATAGGAACCATTATTTACTTAAAAAATTGCCTTCAGCACTGCAGGCTTCAAGCAATTTTTAAAGGAAATAATGAATCCTTCGTCGTTGGCCATTTCCTACAGTGTGCTCAAAACCTGACTATAATTGCCTAATATAAGCTATAAGAAGACCATTGTTTTTGTGTTATAGAACTTTTCCTTTAAAATATTGTAAGTTTAAGACAGACAGATATAAAGTACATTACTTTATTGTCACATCAATAAAAATGCAAGACTGTTCCTTGTTACAATAACATAAAAAATACCCAAGAAAATACATACTGTACAAAAACAAAAAGTCAAAATACAATATGTGCAAACATTACAATTTAACATAAAAGAAACATTACATATAAAGAGGAGGCCATGAGAACGAACATTATTCCGAATAAAGAGTGGGAGGCCATGATTAAATCATGACTGTCCTCTCTTTATTTGTAGTAATGTTCGTTATAGGTTTATTCAAATATAATCAGTGCATCTGTTGATTGAAATTTAATAAAGATTAAAATTTGAATTCATTTATTATTTATTGCAATTTATGTCCACTTAAAGATTAAAACTTGGATTTATAAATTAATTAAATTTTTTAATGCAATTAATGTTATTACTGAAAGCATAAAAATATAAAATTATTGGAAATAGTTAAATTTAATAATGAATTATTGCACAAGCAGAATTATCTGACAATTTTATTAAAAATAGGCGAATTGCTGATGGAAAAGAACCTATTTTGTTGTGACTAATAGATACCAGAATTGCAAAAAAAAAGTAAGCGCTATACAGTAGTTTTTGTGAAGCACAAAGAGTTACTGATTTTTCCTTCCTTTCTTAAAATCTTACCCAGGACAAGAAGGAAGAAGACGTGTCATCAGCATCAACGTCGACCATCAACACATTGAACCAGGATGAAGAAGGATTATTTGCTGCAACAGTTGGTGCAAAACTGAGATCACTTCCCCCCAAAAAGAAGGCAAAGGCACAAGTGAAAATTATGGAAACCTTGTTCCAAATTGAATGGGAATCTGATTAAAGCCGGGTAGGGTGGGTGGGTGTTGTATGCAGGCTCCTACCCCAAAATGCATTGTTGAGTTAGTTGTTTTAAAGTTTTAAATTTTAATACAGTTGTATTGTTGATATGCGGAAAAAAATATTATTGAGCACGAGGCTCAGTTTTTTAAAATAAATATGAAAATATGTGAATATGTTTGTTGATTTGTTTCCAGTTGTTTAACAAGAAGTCTTGGGGGCCCAGGGACAAAGAGAGTGCTGGGGGCCCTATGCATTTTAGTAATCGGTTACAGTTGTCAAGAAAGTGGCTGAATGGCCCCTTCACAGTAGATTGTCAAACAAGACCGTAGCCTGCTACTACTATGATTTGATTTTTCTATATGAATGCTGGTACTACCTTCACTTCCATATTTGGAACTACAGTATTCCACTTTCAGTTTGTAGTGGAGCTGACCATAGAACAATTATGGGTTGGGAATTGATATTGTATTAATGAAGAAAACATTTGTGAGTTAAAAACCTGGGATTAGAATGTTTTAATTTGCTAGTTTTGGGTCTCTTCTACTAATTAAACTGTTGTAATGACAAGGCTTTGTTAAGGAAGTACAGTAATATTCATAGTAGGAAGCGGACCTTTTGGGCTAGTTAAAAATCTTTCTTTTCTGTGGATACCCCACCAATGTGGGGACATTGTTCTTCCTTGGGATCCAGATAACAAAAACTTATTTCATACAAATTTCAGTAGTTGCTCCTAGTTGCTACGGAAATTTTGCCTAATTACGGACATACAGAAATATACGAAAAAATTACAGAATTTATCATAGGCCTAGACACAAATAAATACAGGTCTCCCTCCAAATAAAGACCACTTTTGGGACAGGAGTTCCATGGTCTTTAGCAGCTTTGGTCTCTAATTAGAATAATAGATAATTTAGGATGGGACCACAGAAAAGTGGTCTTTAATTGGAGGGTTCTTCAATTAGAGGGAGCCCTGTAAACTTTTCCATCATGATCTTTGGTTACATTGTTCCAAGACAACTCATTTGTCAGATTACTGTTAAACTATAGTGAATACCAAAAAAAAACTTTTATTCTGTACCAGTAATTTAAGCAACCCATGCAGTTTGAACTCAAAAAAAAATATTTGGTGCTACAGAAATTTTGTATTTACTATGGATATATGAAGACTGGATTTAATGAAATGCATTTTACTCTTTGAGAAGTCTGTAGTTATTCAAGTTTAAGTCTAGACCCTGGATGAAATCATCAGACCTCCCTGTCGCACCACAGGCACAACCCCTGCTATGTTGTTCAAGGCAAAATTTAAGAAAGCGAGAAGGGAAGATGATTAATAAACACATGTCAAGTTTGACTAATTTGCAGGCGTGAGACTTTTGTTCTAAAAACATCTCCCCAAAAAGGGGGCGGGGGAGTTGTCCGGGGCATTCCCATTTCCCACCACCTCCTAAATTTTTTTCCCTATTTGCAACTTTAAGTCACAGTTCAAGACCTATTTGCTTTCCGAAGGTTTTCACATGCGTTGCGCCTTTGATCTTGTTTGGAATTGGCGCCATATAAATTTGTGATATTATTTTATTATTATACCTGGGAATGCATTATTGCCCGACTTTATGTTTATATTTACAACTGAATATCTGTTAGGAATCGCACATTTTTTATTGAGGATGCATATTTCTGCTGTCCACGATCGAAAATAGAAAGCCAAACCAACATACACTGGTGTAGTGCACCATTTATTTGTGTTCAAATGTGTAATAACAAACCAATCCTACTTAAGTGCATTAGATGATAAATATTTAGTGAGAGAGCTAGAAATTATACATATATTTTTTATTATAGGAAATTTTACATTTATGCGCAGGTTTTTAGTCCGTGAGCGTGAGACAGACCTCAAATATGTGAGTCTCATGCTGAATGCGTGAGCCTTGACGTGTATGTTAATAAAGCAGTGAATTTAGTCATGCAGTAATTCCATGCACTAGATGGGAATATTGCACTTAAGGAAGATTAATTTATGCATTAATTTCCTGAGGGCCCAGAGGCAATTTGTTCATGCGTCAATCGATCCTTTGTGTAAGCCATCTTGATTATATGCGAGGATCATAATTAACTGCTGGCCTTCACTGTGTCGTTCTCTAGAGTAAAAGTGTAGATTTTAAATTCATACATTTGTCTTTGTATAAAATGGGCATTCTGCTGGATGTACAGTATTGCATATTTTTCCACAATCTATCAAAAGAAACCATCATCTTTTTATTTTTAAAGATAATTTCTTTATTCATATGTTCATTTTTCAATCTGACAGAAGCCAGAACAACTCAATAATATTATATACACTGTATAAACATTAGCAGTTATCTTCAATTGTATTTTAAAAAACAATAAAATAAATGGACACTTTTAACAATTACTTTATTAAAGACAATGAGAAAAAAAAATGCACATGTATAGCATGGGTGTTAAAACCAACATGGTGGATAATGATTACTACTCCAACACTCACAGTAACAATCTTTCATAATTTAAGAATACCTTATGTCAGCAAGATTATGCTAAAAGCCATTTGGTAGCTAGTGCCTGTTTTCACGGTCAATCGACATAAACCTATGTTGTACGTTTTCTTGCTGATTGACCTTGATATGGGCATGCGCAGTTCAAACTACAAATTAGCTTTTCCATTTAGGTTACAGCTAAATAATATATGTCGCCCTCTATGGATGTGATTTAATGCAAAGTTTCCAAACCTTCCGATTCGATCGGGAGCCTCCCGAATTTTTATGCTATCTCCCTGTCTCCCGAATTCGTTTAAATTTTCATGAATTCCAAAAACTAGGCCCTTACTAGGTCACATGAATGAAAAACCCAATAGTTATCTTATAAATTACGTTTATACACCTCGAAAGACGTTAATGCTATCAGAGTATTTCGATGTTGAGAGTGCTTTTCACTAAATGGTGAGAATGGGGGTGCCCTTCACCTGCAAATTCTCCCATCTCCGGATTTTTTAGGTCTAGGGGCTAGAATGTCTGTTAATGCAAACATGGGTTCAATTCAGATGTTGATGCTGAATCTAGGGTGAAGTTCATCTTAATCATTGACCCCCCCCCTAATTTCACTGTTCCCTGCCCTCAGAGAGGTAGTGTCGAGCCTAGAACACATTCTTCCTCAGATCCTGTAGTAACTTCATTGATGGTGAACATTCTTTTATTCATTGGACTCAAAACACCAAAATTGTTATTGCACAACATCTTGTGAGTATTTGTAACTTTACATTTAACTGTCGGGAAGCGAACTATTTTATTAAGTTTATATTTTTATTTATTAATCTATAATTTTAACCTGTGCGGATTTATTTGTAATCCACTGTAAGGTGATAAGGTCGTGTTGCTTTGTAACGCGCTCAATCGGCGTAGATGAGAGAGACGATTGCAGCGTGATGGTTAACCCTGGGTGGCAGTGAACCTCTCGTTGTTTGGTACATTAAGACTGATTTTGGTTACCTTTACTGGAACTGAGGAAGCAGGGAGTGAGATGCTTGTTATTGTATAGTGTAATTAGAAGTTACATTTACAAGAATAGAGGAAACCTTAGAGGCATTACCATAGGTGGTGGCGCATTATATTTCTCAACGCTGAATCTGGCCCATGGTTATTTCCAGGTAACAATGCATGACCAGGCAATTGAGAAGACAGCTTTCAGGGTACTCTGGGGTTTGTTTGAATTTACCAGGATGCCGCAGGGTTTAACAAACAGTCCTAGTACCTTCCAGCTGATTATGGAGTTCATATTTGGGGATATGAACCTAAGTGAGATCATTTTATATTCAGACAATATTTTGATATTTTCTACTACGTTTGAAGATAGAGGCTAGATAGAGTGCTGACTTGACTGGAGAAGAATAGCCTAAAAGTGAAAGGGAAGAAGTGCAATATGCTGAGGCTGGAGGTCAAGTATTTAGGACATATCGGGAGGAGGGGAAGCTAAATTATATTTACGTTTGATAAAAACCCATACTGATTGAATGTAAGGGAATTATGCAAGACTTTAGGGCATAACCAAACCCAGATATTCTGGCTATCACCCTGCCGGTAATGGCCAGGTAGAATGACTAAACAGAACTCTTCGTTCGATGCTAAGAAGTGTTACTCCAGGGGAAAGAAAAAGGTGGCTGGAGTCGGCCTCAATCCGAGATCATACAGCAAAAAGAGAGAGTGAGTGAGGCAAAGCAAAAGCTTAAATATGACCTTCATCATAGAGCCCGACCCCTTAGCACATTTGCTGAAGGTGATCAGGTATTCATATGTGATCAGAAGAAACGTGGGATAATCGTGAAAGCAGTAAACACATCTCGTTCATACGTTATCGAGATGGAAAACTGAGTCCGTAGAAACATACCACAGAGACATATTTCCGACTAATGCGCCTGTAGTCTTAAATCGTGACTTGAACGAATACAAGAGCGAAGTTGATATACCAAGAGACGAAACCATCGCACCTACGGTTACTCAAGGTGCGAGACCACTGACGCTCGAAGCACGCGTGCAAAACGACATCGTTAGGACGCGTAGTGGTAGAATCATCAAGCCCCCAGAGTGACTTGATTTGTAAATATTTAACTTGCAGGACTTGGAAAATCGAGTTTTGAGTGTTAAACTGTTAAAGATTGAAATGATTCACATGCTCATAATGTTATACAGTTTTTAAGTTGTTTTTAACAGTTACAGGAAGTATCCTTCCTGGTTACGTATTTGATTTAATGCCTGTTAATGTTCATTAAATATTATAGTAACCATTTCATGAAGCCAGTGCAACAGGTAAAACTAAAATGTAAGACAAACCAAGCTGATAAACGTATTAGTGATCAGGTCACATTTCAAGTACTGAACTTTCCCAAGGATGAGTCCTTGGGAAAGAAAATGCGAAAAAAATTGGTTTATTGAGAAGGGTGAATGAAATTAAAGGTAACCCCCACTAACATCAATAAACCACACAAACCCAGTAAACTGTCTTTAGAACTAGAGAAAGAAAATAATGATCTGTTCACAGGACTAGCGATGCCTAAAGAACAGGGAGTATGGCATAGAAATTGACCCAACAGTACGACCAGTACAATTACCACCCCACCAGATCCCCCACAAAATTCGGGACAGTGTTAAAGACAATCTGGACCAAAAGACCAGCATCGGCGTAATTCGAAAGCCAAATCACCACAGTGCTCGAGAAAAACTGGAAAGTACGGATGTCTAGACCCCCACGAGCTAAATAAAGCAATACGCTGACAGCATTACCCATGAACACACTAGAATCGGTCGTGGCAAAAATGCCAAACGCAAAAGTATTTTCTATGTTTGACACGACCTCCGGGTGAGAATAGCTCAAACCTAACAACTTTCAATACCCCTTGGGGTAGGTATAGGTTTACACGCATGCTATTTGGCATCTACTCCGCAGGTGCAATCAGGTAGCGCGCCATGGAGGAGGAGTTCGGTAACATATCCGGTATCGGGATAATTGTCGATGATATGATGCGAGGTTAGAAGTAATTTTTAACCGAGTACGCGCATCAGGCTTTAAAAGTTAAATCGCCCCAAGTCTAAAATAAGTTGGAGATCATGTTGAGCATGTGGGACACTTGATTACAGACCAAGGTCCAAAACCAAGTCCTTGGGTAAGGTAAGAGCCCTAACGGAAATGCCCAGACCAAATAACAAGAGCGATTTTTTTTTGGGAATTATGGTGTACCTGGCTAAGTTTGTCCCTAGTTTATCCAGCGAGACAGACCCTCTCCGTGTACTACTCACAGAAGGAGTGGATTGGCATGGGAATCGCAACATGAGGCAAAGTTTAATAAAGTAATAGAAATTGCACCAACATTAAAATATTACAACGCTAGCCAACCAGTGAGACTAGCAACAGACGCGAGCAATCAAGGTTTGTCCACTATGAGACAAAGCAAGAAACCAGTAGAGATTTTTGTGATAACATCACTGGGAGTTACCAACCTTGAAGGAGGGCCCTCTGTGAGATTGCCGAGAACTTGCACCACTAGACAATTCCTGTGACAAAGGCCGAAATAGACACTCAGAAAGACATCAATGAATAGCCATACCTCCAAGCAGTGCAGACAGACGTACCAACTCAAGGAGAGCAGTAACTCTGTCAACAAGATAAGCGTAAAGGCAGATCTTGAAACTCAATTCCAAAATTACATCAACAACGATTTCAATGAACGAAGTGCTGGGGAAAAACTGGAGCCTTCTAGTGAAGACAAAGAGTTCCTACTCAAAGTCGAAAACCGCATAACATTAAAGAATGGGCACTACGAAAATTGGTCTACCTATAAAGAATAGTGTAGGCCTATATATGCCTGATAACAATTGCCCAGGCAGATCACCAAGCCTAAAAGAAAAAGTTCTTTGAAGACGATAAATTAAACGGACCGTTTGAAGTTAAACGGGGACGACCTGTAGAAAAATGTTATGGCATCATATTTACGTACTGTGCAGCATACGCCATACACACTGAAGTGGCGCACTCAATGGATACAGACTCTTGTATCAACGCCTTAGGAAGATTTATCGAAGGAAGAATTCAAGTGATTCAAGCTAATATGCCTAAAGGAAGCCACAAGGAAGTGGAATATAAGTAAAATTCTCACTGCGATAACTCTTGTTCAGGAAAGATTTCAAAGAAGAAGAGTTCGGATAATACAACCGAAGGCCTCGACCAAATGGAACTGATGCTTAAACGACTCATGGAACAAAAGGCCCAAAAGCAGGCGGAAACCGCCGGAAAATACGATAATGAAGTAAGGCAGGTGGAAACCGCCATGAACGACAATAGCCTTACGGCGGAAACCGCCTATGATTATCAATATGAAGTTGGAGAAACTGGCGAAAAAATGATTTAATAAGCATAATGGCCAATGTCAATGAGCAATTAGATGGAGTGGTTGATACACTCAACAAATGTGATGTAAACGAACATACAGACCCGAATGGGGCCAATCAGCACACAAACCCGGCAGCTGGCTGTGCCAGTAGATTCCGGGCTTGCCGACCGTCAGGGGATATTATCCCTGATTCTCTAGCGACCAACATGAAAGTCATTCTGACTGAAAAGTTAGATGAACAGTTAATTAATGACACCACAGGAAAATATCCTGCGCCAGCTAATCTAGAAGTCCCTGTGGCCCCGAGGGTAAACCAGATAATATGGGACAATGTCTCCAAAGAGAGACGTACAGCCGATTTAAGGCTACAAAGAATTCAAGCCAGTTTGGTTGCCGGATTGTCAGCAAATTCACAAATGATTACAGGGGAACCAACTACGGTACAGGAGGATGCTCTGGCCCTGTTGGCTCATGCTAATTTTGAAATTAGCATGCTCCGTAAAGATAACATTAAACCGGAGTTGAATGAGAAATATAGGCAGATTTGTAAGCCTACAGTTCCACTCTCTACTAATTTATTTGGAGATGATCTCTCCAAAAGGTGCAAAGAGCTAAAAGACAACACTAATGCAGTCACGAAAAGACTTACCCATTCGGGAGATGGGGATCGAGAGGCAGTGGTAGGACCCAAATGGGTCGTGAAATCACTACAACAACAAGAGGTCGTAATTACAACAAAAGTGCCCGGCCTTTTTTAGGTCAGGCCTACAGCAGCCCCCATTACAAAAGACAAGAGAGAGGGCTCGGGAAATGGAAAACCCCTCAAAGCAACACGGTAGTACAACCGGACAGGAAGCGCTAGAAGAGGCAAGTATTCCTCGTATTACAAAACCGTTTGTTGGTGGCCAAATTGAATTAAAAAAATTAGAATGGGAATATCTCACTTCTGACGCTAATATTCTAAACGTCATTGCAGGCTATGAGCTGCAATTTGAATCTACACCGCCAATTCAAACAAGTGTCCCATATCCATATAGGCTAAAACCACAATATGTAGTAGCTGTTGATAAGGAAATAGTGAAACTTGAACAAAAACACATTATTGAAGAGGCGAACGATACCGGAAATGAATTTATTTCCAATGTATTCACGCGCTCTAAAAAAGATGGTGGTATCAGAATGATTTTGGACCTTTCCAGTTCACTGACAAGAGACTGGCGGGGGACAGACAGACAGACAGGAGAATGCTAGATATAAAAATCTCTACCACTAAAATTACTTTGTGAAATGATGATCAAACTTCGAACAGGTAAGTTCTCGTTTAAATCTTGACATTACAGTGTATACAGTATAGTACTGTAGTATAGATAATATGTTTTTATTCATTAGAACATTGATTATGAACTTAAACAATTATGCCATATTATTATTCTTTCATATTTATACGTGAACTTAAACATGAACTTACATACTTGGATTACCATGAATTTGTGAGCGAATTTATGGTGAATTATTATTGTGGATTCTGTGAGATAATTTTTGTATGGATAACGTGACCGTGGGGAATATGAATTGTTAATTGGTTATTTTATCGGAATAAAGAAATCGCGCATTGAAACTGTTGGCCTGGATGGCGCTTGTTTTGAACATTAGTTCGTTAGAGCCAACACCAGTGGTTCAAATATCTGGTGGAGCACACACTTAACTCTTAGGGGAGTGTTCTGTACAAAATATATGAATACTGTAAATGTTTAAACCCCTGGAAATCTAATTTCGGGAGATGGGTGGTGAAAGGCGCCCCACCCCCAAAATGTTGATTATCCAAGTCATGCATGTAATTTGAGTGATAGAATTCTAAAAGTGATTTTTGGAGGTGTCAGTAACGCTCGGAGGCCTTTATATGCTGACACCTTTGATAAAGTCAGTGCAAAAAAGGAAAATTTGAAATACTCAATTATAGATAAAGCAACTAATTGGCTGTTATTGGCAAAAAATGGGAGAATTTAACAAAATTATGGAGACTAGGAGATTGCTTGTAAATTCAATTGGGAGAGTTGGAAAATATGACACTGTAATGTCTCCATATTAAGAGACACAATCAATCATCACCAAGTACACAAAATACTGTTAATTACAGACTGGAAACATGCTGTATAAACTGTTTATCAAGTTATAGTTAGCTATAGTTGTTTTGCAGCATTTGAAAAAAAGCCAACTATTCCAAGATCAATTCAGTATATTCATTACAGTATCAAAACTTGTAACGTAAATTCTTGGTCACAAATGTAATGTTTATATACATTATTGATCAAGTTTCTTAGTATCCTTTTCTTTATCAACTTCATCTTCAACTGCAAGGCACAATACATGAGACCAAATGAAAAATAACTGCAAAAAAAAAAAAAAAAAAATTGTTTTACTAAATTCAACGAACCGCATCCCACCCCACCCCACTAAAGAAATTAAAGATGTATTGTCACATGGAAAATACACCAAAAAAAACCCATAAAAAAAAAACATTTGAAATTAACTTGCTCATTTTAAAGTAACATAAATTATTAACTTGAGCATAGAAATTAGTGTATTTAAAACATGTTTACCCATAATAAATTCAGTAAGTCCTATGCTTAAGTTAATAGTTTGATAAGTTAATTTCAAAATTATTTGTTACGATTTTTGTCATTTTCAGGAAACAATACACAGGAGGTAAACTTGTTGCATTTCAAATTAATAGAATACCACTTTGGTACATTACAACACCAGGGGGCAGCATTTCAATACTAAGCAACTACCTGCCAAGTGGTCAAAGTGATGCTTTCAGAACTAGCAACAGTTCCAATATAGCTTTTTAAACTGAAACAGTACTGATATATTTAGAACCTCATAATTTCTTATCACAAACCTAATGAAAACATGAAACTTGGCATATCCTATTCATTATCATTAATAGAATTTTTTGACACTAATACACTTTCCACTGTTTTTTTTTGTTTTTTTTAATGCAAGCTTTATATAATAAAATCATGTGTAGCATAAAGGTAAAAATAAGTAAAAATACTTTGGTATGTTTTTATAAAATAAAGTACCACAGGCGGGCGTGTCATCACAACACCAGGTAGCGCCCTCTGTTGCCATTCATTACGCCTGAATGACTTCATAGGCTTTCTAGTAGGCATTTTAAAATCTAATATTTTACCATCAAAATGCAATAAAAACAGAAAAGCTCGCATTTTAGTTATTGAACACGCATTTAATCATCGATTAAAATTTACAAAGAAAAGCTAAGATACAACATCTTAATAATTACGTTAGAAATTGGGATCACAGAGTAGTATCACGTGGTATCGTGACGTAACACTGCAGTACTCTATAAATTAATAATTCTTATTCTAATTGAATTTGCAAAGATCTTACCTCAACTACAAAACACAGCGCTCTGCCTGCACTGAGGACAGCGATACCACCGTATTGTACACCTTTTGGAATGCTTAAAAGAGTTAATAGCCCAGTATAATGGGCATACAACCAAACAGGCAGGATATGCAGCCCAAGAATGGTAAAGGTTCCTATCGGTGTTTTGAAATCTGAAATCCAAACAAGAAGATTGCATTATAAACTTGAGGAATAATTACACTTTATTTCTTTGTTATTTCTATGCTGTGTCTGTTTTCTTAATTCTTTTTAATATTCAATTTATCTTTTTTGGTATTAATAAGTATTCATATATCAATTTGGACCCCTCTTTATGTTTTATAAATTTGTGTATTTTAGTGTTTTTTTTAATGTAGTTTTTATCTCCCACTCAGTATTTAGCAGGCAGCTGCGAGTTCACATACCTTTGTTTTTACAAGTTAAGACTTAAAACTCGCATCTCTTGTTCATGTTAGTATAGGTTACAATTTATTTATTTTTTCTTCTAATCTGTTTTTTCAGAGAACCATGCATTATACAATTATACAAGTTCCATTTTCTGAAGTTTCTGAAAGCCAACTCATGTAACATATGCGATTTGTTGTCGCATCTGGTCCGTGTGGTCGCATAGTTCTGCGTCATGTCGAAGAATAATAAACACAACGACCTAAAGATGGTCCCTGGCGATAAATCATGCCGGGGTAAGTCATTTGGAGCTGTCTGAGTTGGCCTTTAGTTGGTATACTTCCACTCAGGGTAAAACCTATATTATATTTCTCATTAGAGCTGTGTGTTTTAAATGTAATTTGTAAATATTTTTAGTGTTATTTAAATGTAATTTTAATTGTAATTTTAAATAATTTTCAGTAATTTACATATTTATTGTAATTATAGCAATATTAATTATAATCATTGCAATAATTATAATAATAATCTTTTTATATCTTGTGATTTTATAGTATTGATTATACTTTTATATTTTTGATGTTCATTGCAATTTTCACCTGTAAGTTGGAATGAAGAGTTCCTGTTAGATGATTGTTATAAAATAAAAAAAAAACAAAAAAACAAAAAAAAACCAAGCCTCTAACTTATGTATATGTAAAGTACTCCATCTGGTTGGCTAGCTCCATGGCTAGAGCATGATAGCTTGGTTAAGTCTACATGCTTACTATTTTCTGGTTTAATAGCATGCTTAAAGTGATGGGCTTATTCAAAACAATAATTAATTCATTCATTGAGTTTTTATCACAGACTTACTTTTCTCCATTACTTTTCTAACTAACCAAGGTGTCTCATGGATAACCATCTTCCACTTAGCTCCAAGAGTATGCGTGCATACAAATACGAGCCACTCTAACATAGCAATAAAACAACCCCACTAAAAAACAAGAAAGAAAATGAAAAAACAAAAGAAATACATTAAAAACACAGTAATTACATAATTACATATAAAAAGAAAAAACACAATAATCACACAATAATAACATACAGTAAATACAAAAAAAAAGGATGAAAATATCATTACTGAAAATTCATAAATATGTGACTATACAATTAGGTTATAAGAAAGTAAAAACATATAAATACACAATAATACAAAGAAAGTAGTTTTTAATGTAACAAAATATCAGATTCTTACAAAAAATTGCTGATATCAATTTAAATGAGATAGATGATAGATCAAAATTCATACCTGGTACAAGCGACTCCATATCATCCCTCGACCAAAATTATCAATAACAACATCAAACTATAAATACCAAAAATAAATATGAATTATGATGATGATGATAATTATATTATAATGTTGGGTTTTCAATGTTCATTATGTATGAATCATCATAGATAATTTTTGAATTGCTAATTTCCTTATTAGGCAAGACTTTTTTTATACCTTGTTTAGCGAACCTGCCGACTGCAAATATTGATGATTTTGAATAAAAATAAATTTTTATTTTTAGCCAATTAGCGCACCTTTTGTCACAAAAAAGTGGAAATTCCAGAAAAAATAAAAAAATTTCTTTTTTTTTATTACACCCTCTGCTCCCTTGAAATCTCCAAACATAAGATATGTATATTTCATTCTAATTATGTAAATTAGAAGCATTTAACCATCCTATTTTACATTCACCAATAAAATTTTATTTTTATTTTCTCCTCCACCTGGATGATTTTGGCAAAACTATTTGCTAAATAAGAAAACCAAATTTTTACTTTTATTTTTATTCCGCCCTCCTCCAATAATCTTTAAAAAAATAAGTATGCGAAACAAGCAATAAGAAAGTCATGCCTTATTTTATGTTAATTTCTCACACATCAAACGGCAAGTTACTTTAATGATGCTTTAAAAATTCTCTTTACGAGGTTTAGAGTGTGGACTTGCAATCCTATGCTTTGTCCACACTATCAAATTTTATTTGACCAAAAACTGTTGTATGCCCATTTATAGTCATGATGTGCCCATATATAGTCATGATGTGCCTATATATGGTCATGAGGTGATGTCATTATAACCATATTTAGGCATGTCAAATCAAATTTGATAGTCTCATGGACAGGGCCTTAGTTGTGAGAAAAACTCCTTGTGTGACAAGGTTTAAATCCAGAACCATGAGACTGGAAGGCAAGAATATACCTGTTGGCATCTGATGCGTGAGATGAAAAAAATGTATATAGCGCCCTCTATGAAAAATTAAAGAAATACAGCGCCCTCTATGTAATTTTAAAAAATTGTGGTGGTGGAACTGCTACTGATTACAGTTGTCATTTGGTTTAGCTTCGTTAAAAGAAATTTATATGGCCTGTATTCACATTTTAATGATAAATTCACTTCATTTGGAGTTTTGGTATAATCAGGCTATACATTTTATCTTTTATAAAATATTTATATGTGTGAGATAATACAACATAGTTGTGAGATGTAAAAAGAGACTCATTATGCGTGAGAATTGACAGGTTACAAGCATTGCGACAGCTCCTCTGTTATTGTTATTGTTCTGAGTGTGGTAATAAAATAAAAAGCAAACAAACCCAAGCACCAAAAGCTGAGCATTGATTCAGTTTCCTAGCAACTGCTCCATCTATTCCTGCAGATAAAGTATATTTACATAATCAAATCTATGATCACACCAAATACATATTATATTCTAATGCTAAATTTACAAAATTATTTAAATATGTTATATAAAAATTTTCTATCACTTACCATCTAATATAACATTAATTGAATACAGAATTAGGAAGAGGCCAGGATTTCTGGTGTAAAATAAACAGCTTATAAGTAATAGCACAATTCTTGCATAGCCTGTGGAAATGAATTTTAATAAAGTATAATTTGTGTTTTTCAAAAACCAAAGGATCCATTGATTATACGTAAATAAAATATGAGTATGGCGACTCTGAAAAATGATTTTTCGGAGTCACCATACTCATATTTTATAATTTGTGTGTTTGCCTATAATTTAAAATGATCAAAGATAACCAGACAACAATGAGGACTGAGGTTTCCGTGATCAACTTTATTAGTTAATCACTTCTCAGTTACTAATTACGTGCCTATTATCTTAGGATTTAATTATCTTGCTCAATTTCTTACAGTTTTTATTTGAATTGCTCTGTATTTTTCAGTCATACGTGTAACGCTGAGAAAGGACACAGACGTGTTCGAAATATTCGTTTTGAATAAATTTTATGTCTCTATAATGTCAACGTATGTAATCGTTTCTTTTTTGTATTTGCTTATTTTATAATATATATTATATAATTTTTTGAGATTTAATGGGAGCAGAGGGCATATTTTTTCTGAAATTTTATTTTTCATGGCGGAGGGTTTGTATCACTCTATGTAGTACCTACAGCACATCCATCAGTGACAGAGTTACAAGAAGTCAAAGCTTAGCGTACATTTCACCCCTCAAAACCTGTCCTGGGCCTGGTCCACATGCAAGGAGCTTCCGATTTGCGCAACACTAGGACAGAATCACTCATACGTGACCGTCCTTCACTGCACATATGTAGATTTTGCCAACTTGCGTCCTAGAATCCATGCGCAGATTATTTTATAGTGACGTAATTTTTACGTTCTACAACGACTACGTCCTACCGTCTTGTGCAATCGAAAGCTCCCTAATAATAAATTGAGTATTGTAGGCCTTAGATAATTAATACAGTACTACACAGCAGCCAAATCTTCTGGCTTGCTTGTGAAACTTGTGCCACTAGGCCAGCCCTACTAGGCTAGTTAGGGCTAGGGGCCTAGGTTTAGGCTGCCTACACAGGTAGAGTAGGCCTACCTACCTAGCCTACTTACTAGCTAGGTACTCTAGGCCTAGACTAACTAACCTAGAGTAGGCTAGCCTAACCGCTTACCAATAAGATTTGGAACGTAGACAAATACAGAAGTAGGCCTAGTCATTATTTATTAATTATGTTTTTCGTTTTATACTGACAAAACAAACAGAACACAGTCAATGACAACCATATTATTAGTTTTCAAGTACTGATTGGGGACGAGTTCCACGGCTCGAAGTTTTGTTTACATTTTTAAGATGTTTATGAAGAGAGCGCCCGCTATCAGATAAATATTTCTAAACAAACCACAATTTCATTGGACAACAGGAGTTCCGTATGCCAAGTTGTCGTCACGATGACCAATGCAAGGTTGTGTATGACAGGTAGTAGGAAAGAAACATATGTTGGACATCAGAGAAGATGGCGTTGTGAGTGTAACTGAGTGAAAAATGTGCCGTCAAAATATGCAGTATTTCGAAGTTTTTTTCCTTTTCTTTACCGTTTTATTGAAAGCAACTTTATCCTCAGATTCAAGGAACATCATAGACACATCTACGTACTACCACTACGAGGCGTTGACTACTTTATTAAAGCAATATGCGAACGACTACCCGCACATAACTCGGTTGACGAGTGTCGGAAAGAGTGTACAAAACCGTGAACTATGGGCTCTCCAAATAACAGATAACCCCGAAGTTGTGGAGAAAGGGGAGCCTTGGTTTAAATATGTTGGTAACATGCACGGTAACGAAGTTGTCGGCCGTCAGATTTTAATTTACTTAATAGAATATTTGTGTAAAAACTATGAAACTGATAATCGTGTGAAAAAATTAGTTGATGAGACGAATATTTATATTTTACCTTCAATGAACCCAGACGGATTTGAGAATGCTGAGGTTGAGGATTGCAAAGGAATCAAGGGTCGAGAAAATGCCAACAGAGTCGATCTGAATCGCAATTTTCCTGATCAGTTTCGTAGGAAAGACCCAAGAAAAGAAATCGAGACGTCGTCATTAATTCGGTGGATTGAAAATAATCCGTTTGTTTTGTCGGCAAATCTTCATGGCGGAAGTATTGTGGCAAGTTACCCATTTGATGATTCGGCAAGTCATATAAGCGGCGGTCATTATAGCAGTACGCCAGATGATGCACTTTTCAAACACCTCGCTCAAGTGTATGCAAATGCACATAGAACTATGCATGTTAAAGAAGGGTGCAAAGAGTTCGGTGACCATTTTCCTGGAGGGGTTACCAATGGTGCCGAATGGTATGATGTACCAGGTGAGAAATTATGTCCAAGAGATGTCCATGAAGTAAAAAATGCCCAGTGAAACGCATAGGAAAAATTGATAAGAATGCCTATATATAATAATATTTAAGAATTAGCAATCAATCAATAATGAAAAATTAATTTTTTCATTTAATATAATTTTCAAAAATTCAATATATTAACATGTTGACTGCCAGAACTTTTTTTAGGTTTTGTCCCTTGTGTCACAAACTGTACATCATCAAAATGGTGTGGTCTATTAGATTGATGGGAAAATATTAGAGGAGGATTAAGCTGGCACATGGAATGTTCAGTACTTCCTATTGCCTCTGCCAAGTGTGAGTTTTTTCATCAACTTTTTGCATGGGTTGGTATAGGTTCAGAGGGGGCGCCCCACTCGTTAAACCCTTTGTACTGCCGGCAACATGCCGTAACTGTACGTTATTTGTATGTTATCGTCTAGTAGGTGTATCTTTCCCAAAATTTAGCTGTTTAGTCTGTTATTGTTCAAGGCCTACTGTATAACCATGAAGTAATTAATGTTAGAATGTTAGCCTGGTTTTGGCGAGTAGGCCTATAGTTGTCCCTGGCACCCTCAGCAACACCCTGTGGGAAGAGGAAAAAAGAATTTATTAAAAAATATAACACTAAGTTATCACACACACAAACATTTTTCTAAATTAATATATTCATCTAAGATTAGAATTATTTACAGCTATGAAAAATCGTTACATTCTGTATTTTGAATGGCAAATCCTCGCCACAATATCCCGTCTACATTTCCTGCAAATCTTTCAGTAGCATTCACTACTACAACTTTACGTGGCTCACAATACATAACACATTTAACTAAACATGGCGTTTAACTAAATACTATACTATTTGATCAGCCAGCCAAGGATTTACATAGTACCACTACTATAAGGCATCTGTAAATTTTTGAAAATTTAATTCTGCAATCTGTAATTGAGTTGGTACATTTTTTTTTATTCTTTTGAAACAAGGTTTTTTTTTTTCATTTTCATATTTTTATGGGCCAGTACAGTATATAAGTACTATAGAATTTATATCTAGAGCTTGGCATTTGCTTATTATCAAATGTATTAAAAATGTTTTCATTGATTGTCCAGTTAGAGAAACAAATATAATGTAGTTTATGCGCTGGTGAACCACACCACTTTTTGGTGACTTCCTTATTTCCTCAAAATACTGTACGAATTAGGCTTTGTATTCATCACTGTAAACGTTCTGCATCAACGGTATTCTAACCAAAAAAAATTATTAAATATTGGCGAGTATATATATAAAGATAATTAAAGTTCCGGTACACCATGTGTAACAAATAAGGATTTGAGGTAGAATTACTGGCCAGGTTGATAGTCTTTCTCAAAAAAAGAATTCCACTTATACTGATACAAACAATTATTTGTACTTGATAAGGTACTGTACTTGTATCACCATACCAGGTGAAGCTTTAAAAAAAAAAATACAATGGCAGATTATGAAGTTGTAGGTCCTAGTGAGAATGGCTAAGGGACCCAGGAACGAACTACATTAAAATTATTTTTTTAGACAATCTTTTGAGAGCGTGGCGCTATCATAACAGCAATTAACAAGTATTAACTTTTATTATTTGTACTATTTATTAGGATATTACCATTAATTTTCCTAAATTTCATTTATTTTATTTTATTTCAAACCATCATCAAATCATCCAAAAGTGAAAAATTAATTACAGGATGCCTTTATTAAATACATTAAAAACATTTAAAATACTGTAAAAAATTATTAATACAATCATTGTATTAGAGATTTTAAAAAAATATTGCATATAAATTATTAAATTATGATATCATTTTTAATTGTAAACTATAGCCTAGTCTAGACTTTATTGGTTAGTGTTCCAGTAAATAACACTAAATGATTTAACCACATTAAATAATATTAATATTATTCACAGTTTTACTTAATTAAGTACTGATAACTATCAATGATTATTAACACATTGGCTGCCAGCGATGAGTATACAGTACTCGTAATTCCCACTGACTAAGAACTATTTAAAAACAAAAGAAAATTTATTTTTTACTTTAACATATCCAAATATGTTTACCACATATTAAGCTAATCCTACCATATGGCACTGTTATTAAATATAAATAATAGATTCATGCAAAACAGGATTAATCTGTTAGTTGAACTGAGCTTTATGGTTTTTTGTATTGTTTAAATGGTAATAATCCAGAGGGTAGAAAATCCCTGTCCAAAAACATAGGAAAGTGGGTTGAAAAAAAATTAAATAATCATGACAAAAATGAGGGCTTTTCTGTGGGAAAAGCCAGTAAATCCTTAAAAGTGACCAGAAAACTAAAAAGATCCCATAGAAATGCTGTTGCAGAGTAACAAACACCATCACAACATTTTTTTTTTGCAATTTGAAACTACTGACAAATATGAATAAGATATGATTTGATAAATATATATGATTGAGTGACAGCGTAAATGACTTGGGAAGAATACAATACAGAAGTTTATATAATTTATATTGCCGTATTATACAAATTTATGTTTCATCCTTTTTACATAGATAAAATTTATGATGTTTGCTCTGAGTATTCAGTTGTGGTTGGCTGGTCAAATTTGATTGTAAATTATTATTGTCTGTTGTGTTTATTGATTTTTCTGTATTTATTCAAACCACTATTTATATCTACTGTAGGTCCTCCCACAGTGCATTTGTGTAGTCATTGTAAATGGCATATTTCTCTCAAAACAATTGTGATTTAGCAAATCAAACATCCCCCCCCCCCCAAATTCCATAGAGGTGTTAATTCGGATCAGGTGATAACAGGATTGGTGAGGTCGCTTACCCACTGACTCTGGACGGGTGATATTCAAAATCAAATTCAACTTGGCAAGGATTCTAAGCTGAAATTAATTATTTTATGACATTTGAACAACTAGTACCGGTTGTATGTGTCTAGATTTTGACAAATTGGCTTTGTGAAATTTTCCTTCTTGGTTTTCTCATTGTAAAGTTTAATTTGTTTCTGCTAAATAGACAGGAATATTCACAATGCTAAAATAGTGAATAGGATTTATGATGGTAATTTGTATGACAAACTGAAGGCAAATAAGGGCCAAATAAAATTGATTGTTAGTTTCACGTACCGGATTCGAAATTATATTTTGGTGAGGGTATTTACCTGTCTCTTATACACATCTAGATGTGTATAAGTATGGCACTGTTATTAAATATAAATAATAGATTCATGCAAAACAGGATTAAGCTTTAGTTGAACTGAGCTTTATGGTTTTTTGTATTGTTTAAATGGTAATAATCCAGAGGGTAGAAAAGCCCTGTCCAAAAACATAGGAAAGTGGGTTGAAAAAAAATTAAATAATCATGACAAAAGTGAAGGCTTTTCTGTGGGAAAAGCCAGTAAATCCTTAAAAGTGACCAGAAAACTAAAAAGATCCCATAGAAATGCTGTTGCAGAGTAACAAACACCATCACAACATATTTTTTTTTTGCAATTTGTAACTACTGACAAATATGAATAAGATATGATTTGATAAATATATATGATTGAGTGAATATATAAATATATATAAATGACAGGAAGAATACAATACAGAAGTTTTTATAATTTATATTGCCATATTATACACATTTATGTTTTATCCTTTTTACATAAATAAAATTTATGATGTTTGCTCTGAGTAGTCAGTTGTGGTTGGCTGGTCAAATTTGCTTGTAAATTATTATTGTCTGTTGTGTTTATTGATTTTTCTGTATTTATTCAAACCACTATTTATATCTACTGTAAGTCCTCCCACAGTGCATTTGTGTAGTCATTGTAAATGGCATATTTCTCTCAAAACAATTGTGATTTAGCAAATCAAACATCCCCCCCCCCCCAAATTCCATAGAGGTGTTAATTCGGATCAGGTGATAACAGGATTGGTGAGGTCGCTTACCCACTGACTCTGGACGGGTGATATTCAAAATCAAATTCAACTTGGCAAGGATTCTAAGCTGAAATTAATTATTTTATGACATTTGAACAACTAGTACCGGTTGTATGTGTCTAGATTTTGACAAATTGGCTTTGTGAAATTTTCCTTCTTGGTTTTCTCATTGTAAAGTTTAATTTGTTTCTGCTAAATAGACAGGAATATTCACAATGCTAAAATAGTGAATAGGATTTATGATGGTAATTTGTATGACAAACTGAAGGCAAATAAGGGCCAAATAAAATTGATTGTTAGTTTCACGTACCGGATTCGAAATTATATTTTGGTGAGGGTATTTACTGTTGCTATATAATATTCTATACTAGTGATAAACAGGCTGGTAGATATTTTTGTTTATAATTTAAAAGAAGTAAAATGAATCTTTTTACTTACTATTCTGTCATTTACAGTATATTTCAACCTCTTGGCTTTGACAACAATCTTTCAGTTCAGTTTTTCAGACATCATTATATTTATTTTCCATGGAAAAATGATTGTTTTTTTTTTTCAAATAGCAAATAGTAAAGTTTTTCACAAGGCTCCAAAATTTGGTAAGGGTGAGGACATGAAACTAGCAAAATTCATTTTATTCGGTCTAAGTTATGCTTATTGTCTTGGTGTTAATTGTTAAGATTTAGAAAAATTGAAAATATTATTGTTATTATTTTTATTTATATATTATATTATAGTTACAGTAGTTTTTTTAAATGAAAAATGTTGTTTGTTCATTTGGCTAATATGTGTATGTTTGTGAAGAAAAGTGTTGTTGTGTTTGTCATTTTAGTGTTGAGTCATAAAATTTTGTTTTGTTAATCGCTTCTTAATTTTCACTATCTACAGATAAATACTTAAGAATGTATTCACAAAGCAAGCACCATAATTGGTGTGCACATGTGTTGTGCAATAATGGTTGTTTGTCTGTATAAATCTTGGGATAGATCTATTAGTGCATTTAGCACCAGATGGTGAAAAACTCTACATGCTTTTAAACACAAGTGCTAAATAATGATGTACTTTGATGTAGTTAATATTAACTAACAAGCAAAGTACCAACAATGTAAAACTGTATGTCAAAAGTATCCAATTATAAATTAAAGGTTAAAAGGTTATTAGCTATTCACTTATACCGTGCAAAATACGAGGAAATCTATGCGCAAACACAATTCAGAAAGATAATACCAGCAACGTATGCCTACAGTTAATAAAAAAATCCAGATTATCAAATCTTTGACAAATAAATGCTGTTGTATGCCTACTGCTCATAGTCATGATGTGCCTATATGGTCATGATGTGCCCATATATATTCATGATGTGCCTATATATGTTCATGATGTGATGTCGTCATGACCATATTAAGGCATGTCACATGTTTTTCTCAAATGAATTTTGATAGTCTATAGACAGGCTGTAAAATTGTGAGAATTTTAACAGGTTGTTGTTTTATGGAATATTTTATGACACAGTTAGTTTGATTAAAATTGTATGGTTTGGAATTATGGATCAGAAATTACAAAATAAGCCATATTTTGATTTAAAAAATAGATTATAATTAATAAAAAAAAAAAACTGTCTTGTAAGTAACATATAAAATACAAAACCACCAAAAAGAAACCCTTGTAAATTATTTTTTTATTTCTTAGGTGGAATGCAGGACTATAATTACCTACATAGTAACTGCTTTGAAATCACGGTGGAGTTGTCGTGCTGCAAGTATCCGCCGCCTTCTCAGCTCTCGACGGAATGGGATAATAACAGGGAAGCTTTACTGGCATATATGGAACAGGTATAGTGTCCCACCTCCCTTTAAAAAAAAAAAATCATTCATATTATGCCTTTTGTTGATCACGTGTTGATTTGATTCAAGGGAAAAATTGAATCTATGCGAATATTCAAATGTAATTTCAGTATTACAGTTTGCCCTCCAATTTCGAGACCACTTTTGGGACCTGAAAATTCGGGGTGGTTTCAGGGGTTGGTCTCCAATTAGAGGGCTAACTTTGTGTTAAAAGGTTGAAGATTGTTATTTGGGTTTTTGGAAATGTGGTCTCGAATTAGAAGGATCTCAAATTGGAGGGTGCACTGTATCATTTTAATTTTACAATTTAAAAAATCTATTTTAATACAGTAAATTATGTTTCTTTTCTCTTTTTGCATCAGTGTAGTAGTTGTTTTTATTGAATATTTTATAATTTGTTCTTAAATGCTCATTGTATACTGATTATCACTACCTCATTTATTAATAGGTACATAAAGGGGTGAAAGGTGTGGTGGTAGACGATGTTGATGGTGTTGGTATTGCTAATGCTGATATTGTTGTCGACGGTATTGATCATAATGTTACGTCCGTTACCGGTGGTGATTTTTGGCGCCTGCTAATTCCAGGGGCCTACGCGATCAATGCTTACGCTGAAGGGTGAGTGTGAACCGTTAGCAAAACATGGAGCAGTGGTTCTCAATCTATGGATTGCGACTCAATATTGGGTTGCCAAATAATTTAGAGGGTCGTGAGACTAGGATTTTCGAAATCGATTTTTATTTATATCATGTTAAAAATTGCTTTAGTACAAAGGCAGATCTAGGGATGTCCTAAAGGGGGATGAAAGGGGTGTTGATCGAGAGACAACGCTACCCTAGGGGTCCGGAGGCATGCCATGCAAATTTTTTGTTTTCTAGACGCATTTTGGACGATCAATAATCTCTTTCTTTATTTTCTTTTTTTTTTTTTTTTACTTTCCATTAATATTCATCTTCCGAAACACCTTAGAGGTTATTTCCAGGCGTATAGAAAACAAAAATCTGGCAGAGGTAAGCCTCCCCTGACTCCCTAAGGTAGTGTTGTCTCTCAATCAACATCCCTTTCGCACCCCCCTCCCCTTTAGGACATCTCTGGATCCGCCTTTGTTGTAGAGAGTGCATTATAAGTATTATTTGAACATTTTTTTACTTCAGTTTTGTTCACAGTCTGTTAATGACCCATTTTGGGTTGTCAGTCAAAAATTTTTAGCTGCTGGTAAAGAAAATTATAAATGGACTGGCTTCACAGGATGTGGTATGATGACAAATAGTTCACTTTCCAATCACAACAGAATTTATTTTTAGCCTGTCTAGTTAAGACAATCTTATAAAATAAAAAGCACTGTATCTGAGGATAAAGTTTTCAAGAGGAAGAAGTTGCCTCGTGGGTATTACAGTAAATATTGAAACAATTGAACAATGATTAAAACCCAGACAGTGCTTTTTTACATAACCATGTATTAAGTGAAATTTGAATGGTGATAATGTCTCAAATAAATGCCCCTCAAAAACCCTCCTCAACCATAAATTCCCCAGAGTGTTTCAAATAAATACAGTATTTCTCTGAAGTCAGCTGGCCGTGGAAATCACCATGCATAGCAGTAAGATGTTTTATGAAAGGTCACCACATTTCCCTAAAGTGTCCTCTCCCAAACTTAGACCCCTTTGATATTACAGTGACTTCCATTTTATAAATGTTCAAATCAAATTTAATGATAACCAACAGATATGAATCTGGACCGGCTCAGCATGTTACGGTTGGAACAGGGGAAGCAATTGAAATGGAATTCCGGCTTCACTCTAGACTTAGGAGAACACTAACAACACCAATAGGTAAATCACTTTCCGGGTTATTGCAACTATTCTTAAACTATGACTCAGTCATTTTGTCAAGTCCTTCTTTTTTTTTTTGGTATCTTTTAAATATGCATTGTCACTTACACAATGGAGTTGCTGTAGGAGATACTGTGTAAGCTCTGGCCACACTGTCACATGTTCTGTGACAATTACCTGTGTAAGCTCTGGCCACACTGTCACATGTTCTGTGACAATTACCTTATTTTTCCCAATGTGCTTGATGATGTCATCACACATTTATATGGGATATTTTATGCTTTTTTTTTTTGTTCCTTTATTGTGACAGCATTTTATAGATTATATTTTGATCATCATTAGATTATAAAAATGTTCTTGTTGTCCATTTCTTGTAGTATTAGATGCTTTGCAACCAACATCATTTACTCACCATAACCATGAGCAAATGAAGGCGTCCTTAGATTACTATGCCACAACATATCCAGACATTACAAGGCTGTATAGTGTGGGAACTTCTGTTCAAGGCAGAGAGCTACTGGTGTTGGAGATTTCTGATAATTCTGGATTCCATGAACCAGGTAAGATCACATCACCACCCTTGAGTTTGTGATGTGGAACAAGAGGATGGCAGGGTGCCGTTGAGGAGGAAGGCTAATGGGATAGTGAGAAAAATGAGAGAGGCTGTTGAGACAGAGTGGGATAGCAAGGTATTGATGAAGAGTAGTGGAGGCACATATTACTGGAATGGAATAGAGATGAGAAGGGAGGCTGATATTCTAGCAAGTCTTCTTGGATTAAGGACTATAGACTGATGCCCCAGTGTACAAAATTGGCTCATGTGCACTATAAAGGAACCCAGTACATCTTTTTCAATTAATTAATTCAATTAACATTTATTCAATTAATTAATAAATACATCAAGTGATAAATAAAGTGGACAACATTAAAATTAATTAATTAGGATCAAAAATAGAAGCAAAGCTTGTCTTTCAAGATGAGTAGGGGATTAACTGGTCTAGACAGACAAGAGTAGTTGACTGGTTTGCCAGATGCTCAAGACACAAAGTGACTCTAATGAGTGAATGAAGTTACAGTACAAGCTAGTGCGTGCCTTAAGCGCTTTGAGACTTCAGTAAAAAGCACTATAAATCTACAAACATGAAACTACATGAAATTACATTACATTACAAGGTAGTGATGAGCAGGGAGGCTGGTAATTAGGAGTTGGATAGTGAGGTAGTGATAAAGAGAGGTTGGCCAGGAGATGAATATTCTGGTGTGGTAGTGATGAAGAATGGGGATGGGGGAGTGGGGGGTGGACTAATAATTGCAGGAAAGGAACTGATGATTGCTGGAATTGTTACATTGTGAATAAGATAACTACATTTATGATATTGGAGTTACAAATGAAGGTGAAAATGATAGTCGGTTGTTGCTATGGTTATATTTAAATTTATTACAATAAAGCCGGGCACTTGCCATGCGTCGTGCGATGGTCGAATCCAGCTCCGCTCCCTATGAGCACTAGGAGAGGCAACGCCGTCTGATGATTGTCGGTGGTCGTCTAAACGGATCGTCATTAAGAATGAACAGTTGCGCACATGTCATTGCATTGCATTCTTCATTGTTCGGCTTAACAGTAGGCATTTTCTTGTAGGTGAGCCAGAATTCAAATATGTAGGTAACATGCACGGTAATGAGGTGGTAGGAAGGGAGATGTTACTGCTGATCATCCAGTATCTGTGTGAAAACTACCAACGCTTACCAGAGATCACGTCATTGGTGGATAACACCAGGATCCACATTATGCCCACTATGAATCCTGACGGACACGAAATTGCTTTTGCAGGTAAACAAATGTAGTGATTAATTTCTACTCATTAATTATTGTGCTACATATGTGTGTAAACCATGTGTAAAAATTCTCTGTTCTATTTGTTTTGCCAAATGTACAGTACTACAATGCATTGTGACAAACCAACATATCTTCCTTCTTTTAGCCCTCTTGTTTTGTCAATGCCTCAGTTATTTATTTAATTCATTTTTTGAACGAATGGACAGATAGAAAGACAGAAATATAATAAAAACTGAAACTGTTTTTCCCTTGTTAATGAAACTCATAAAAGCAAATCATTCTATATTCTTAATTGGAATATAAACATTGTAAAAGATTGAATTCATTATGTATACATTAGCACGTATACGCTATACGTACACCTTATGAAATATTCATAGTAAAACATCTAATTATAGTTGTAATAATTATATTTTTATTACATGTATTAAATTAGTCATTAAAAAAATTTCCTACTAGATGATGGAACTGACTTGGTTGGACGTGAGAATGCAAACAAAATTGATCTAAATCGCAATTTTCCTGATCAATTTGGAAAAACGACCGGTGCTCCTCAACCGGAGACGTTGGCTATGATTCGGTGGATGCAATCATATCCATTTGTGTTGTCAGCTAACCTGCATGGTGGGTCTCTCGTTGCTAATTACCCATTTGATGATAACAGGAACTCATCACAGACCTACAGTAAATGTCCAGATGATGCTGTGTTCCGGCAAATATCAAAGGCATACTCATTTGTAAGTTTTTATTTGTTATTCTTTATTCAAGACATTTTATCTGGCATCAATAAAATTAACAAATAAACAATGAAAATCACAACTTCATCTCACCAAACAGACCATATAATAAAAATTCAAAAATCACAATATACAATTACTGAGATAATTATCATAAACTTAGTTATTAATTATATCAAAAAACAAAGTTTTTGCCCATAAGAAAATTCTAGATTGGTAAACCTTGTTTTTAACAATAATGCTGATTTAATTGGTTTCTTTTATATAGATGCATTATAATTACAGTACAATTTATTATATATAAGTGTGCTATTTTTTTAATAATGAGGTTACTGTATGATGGAAATTGAAATTTGATGAATAAAAGTGGGATGACCCCACAAAAGATTAAAAAAAATAATAATTAAATTAAATTAAATATAATAATACTAAATGCGAATGTACAAAGACACTTCCTTGCAAAAAAAGAAACATTAAAATTTGGGAAAAAGGAATAAAAATACATGAAATAGCACATAAATACATTTACAAAAAAGTACTTTGTATTGATCTTGCTAAACTTGCTTTACATTCATTGTACAAATTAAATAAAATTATGTAAAGGTATTTAAACACTATTTTTGCAGCTTAGAATTGTGTTTAATTGTATATTGGGATAATAAAGTCTATAGGGATAGTAGTTGAAGGGATTGATGCTGTTATGTGTTGTCAGGTTCTCATTCTTGAGCTCAGAGGTTTAAAGCCCAACCTGTCTATTGTGTTTAGGCAAGGCACTTAAATCTGCATTTCTTTCTACCCTGGAATGCAATTAAATACTGGATAATATGGTAATGTTATAATTTAAATGTAAATTTAGATGATAATTATGACCCCCATAGCCATTATTATTTTATCAGACACCAGAATTGCATCGAGGGCCGTTTAATCGTGTCACGGTCTCACCACTCGCGATATCGTTATTTGCTTCCACACGAAAGCCTGGACAATAATGGAACAGTCCAAATGATTAATCCTATCGCACTGACAACACTAAGATAAACAGCGATAATACCATCTTCACAATTTCGTGTTGTTTTGTTTTGACAGGCTTCCTTAGGAAAATAACATTTTCCGGGTAAATAAGGTAAACTCTTTTCATGATTTCTGTTCTTATTTATTGTTATTTCACTTAAATACTAGGCTCATCCCACTATGCACCTGGGTCATCCATGTCCTACGTATCCAGAATATTTTAAAGATGGTATCACAAATGGAGCAGCTTGGTATAATGTACAAGGTAGGTTCTTATTTTTTACAGAAAACGGAATATATCAATAATTACTAATAGTAAATATTACCTAATGTTAAGGATAATATTCTTTTCAGTGTTCACTTTTTAAAATATTTTCACATGAAGTTTGAACAGTTTTAATCTTAAATAGATAATGTATCAAATCAATATGCTGGCAGATATCAGTACAGAGCAAATGTGTGCATTTCTCTCTATATATGGTACATTTTTTCTTTAGGATGAAGTCCAATACATTTTATAGGATTGTTGCTGCAAAGCAGCCAATTCATATTCTTGACAGCAATTTGACATCTGAAAGGTCATTGTTTCAAAAAACAAGGGCATAAGACGACTGAAAAGCGGAGTTTCCTTCTTTCATTCTGCCGGGTAAAATCAATTACTTTAGGCGACGTTTGTAGACTAACCAACACGTACCAACGTCCGCATGTCGCGCTAGCCTTATCCTACTCTCGGCCTAGACTAGCTAGGATGGTATAAGCCTAGCCTTGAAGGGACGAAGGTCCCAATGAAAAACAACGTCGCTCCTTGATAGCTAACATTGTCTATTTAACATCACAATAATTCATTATTAGACCTATAGTTGTTTTTTGAATTGTACTCCACAAATCTCAGTCGATACCTCACACAACTCGAGTAACGTCTCATATCTATTGTCGTGACGTCATGGCTCGCTGGCTCACACTTGCGATGTCTCGCACTTGTGATCAAATTACACGCTGGCTCGCACTTTGGCAACACTCTTTTGCAGTCAACTCGCCCCTAGAAAACCTGCCCTTGGAAACTTGCCCCATAAAAAAATGTACACTTCCTAGACCATGCAGTCTTCAAAATAAAAATTGTAACCTTTAGTAATCAACTACATTTTCCACATACATAGAAATTTTTGAAACTTTGTTAAAAAAAAACCTAAACCATAATTCACCACTATAGACACTTTTTGACAAAAATGAAAAATTACGAGTTTGTTACTCAATGAGAAGTGTTCTAATATAGACAATGGGTCGTGTCTCATATTATTTGTTATATTTTTATTATTCATTATTTTCACTTGACTCGCATAAATAATTTTGTTCGAAGAACATTTATATGCAGTTGTACTTCGCAGCACTTCACTTGCAATTTGCAATTTCTAGGTTTATTTTTTTTTCATTGTGCATGCTTCTTAGCTTGAGATTATTTGACCAGCCCTATAGAATGCCCAAGCATTTCCTTTTAGTGTTCGATATTTCCTTCAGTGTTAGTTATTTCCTTTAGTGTTAGATATTCCCTATAGTGCCATTTAATATATATAAGCCATTGTTGTATCCCAAAGCACCATCAATAATGTACACAAATTTATTATAATATAATAATAATAATGGAATTTATAAGGTGTCAATTAAATGAACAAGGTGCATTATTAAAGGTGCTATGCATGTTAATGATGGAAAAATTGAGTAATTTTTTAAATGAAAGAACAGTTTTTAATGTGTACGTGGAGTAAATTTGATAGTGTAGGTGCTGCAAAAGAAAAGATTTATGGCCAATAGTTTTGATGATGTATATGAACAAAACAGCTTAAGATTTCAACTGAACATTTTGGCCAAGAAGCCTTTCAAAAAGATCTTTTCTGACTTGTTGGACTCGTGTCAGCAAATTTTGCAGCCACCACTGCCTGTATGTGTTACACGATTCACCTGACCCAAGCCCGTTTTTCATTTTTTTTTTTTTTAGTATTGAATACCCTACTTAATGAAATAACACTGTATAATAATTATTCATTATTTGCATCTATCAGGTGGAATGCAAGACTGGATCTACCTGCACACAAGCTGTTTTGAGATTTCAATTGAGATGGGGTGTGACAAGTATCCTCATGAGTCGGATCTGCCTGACTACTGGGAGGCCAATCGACAACCTCTCCTGGCTTATATGTTACAGGTATGTAAATTATCTTGATTGAAAGATGAGAGGCATTGTCTATGAATACTGAAATAAAACCTGAACTCTATTTATCAATCATTCTCTTATAGTAACCCCAATGACCCTTATAGTCACTCAACACTAAGGAAAGACTGGTTGTCCAAAAGCTCTGGTTCTATTTCTTGCTGTGTACTTATGTTTATTTTTTTAGCTGTTGTTTATCAAATTTGTATCTCTAACAAGATCCAACCATTGTTTCCCATAGCGTTGTTTTTTTCCCTTTAATTTCCTTTTAATCTATATGTATATATGGAAAATATATGTATGCATGTATGACTATATATAATTGTAGCATTCAATACTGAAATAAAACCTGAACTCTATTTATCAATCATTCTCTTATAGTAACCCCAATGATCCTTATAGTTTCATATTTTCAAATGCCTTATCTTTATTAATTTAGAGACTAAACAATGCTACTAAAGACCATGGACAAAGTGGTCTTTAATTGGAGGGAGACCTGTATCAGATGTGTATAAGAGACAGGTCGATACCTCACACAACTCGAGTAACGTCTCAT